GGCTTAACGAACGAGCCGAACACGAGCTGCTTAACGAGCCGAACACGAGCTGTTCACGAACAACGAGCCAAATTGACAGCCCTAATTGAGCTAGGGAGGTCATCCCATCGTTTTTTCCAGTGACATGCTGAATGTGTCTAGTGGATATACTCGACTTATGACGAAGAGTTTTACGCCCTTGTAAGAGCTTTGAAGCACTGGAGTCATTACCTTTTGTCGAACGAGTTCACACTATTTACGGATTATGAGGCCCTAAAATTTCTCAACAGCCAGATCAAACTAAAGAGCCAACACACACCTAGGTGGAATTTCTAGCCTCATTTCAGTTTGTACTTAAACACAAGGTGGTAAGCCAGAACCGCATAGCAGATGCACTGATTTGTCGACATCTATCGATCACATCCATGCAGGCTTTGAGGTCATAAGGGATCTATATGAAGTAGATGAAGATTTCAAAGACATATGAGAGCAATGTCAGGAGAAACTTGCAAGACAGTATTATCAAACAGATGGATACTTGTTCCACCAGAGCCAGTTATGCATTTCTCAGTGTTCACTAGGAGAGGCTTTTGTTCAGGAGGGCCATAATGGAGGATTAGCAGTCACTTCGACGGGGACAAGACACTCACCCTTATAAGAGAGCATATTTTTTGGCCCAAACTGATGAGAGATGTGGAGCAACATGTTAGATAGTGCAGGATTTATCATGTGGCGAAGACAAGGGCTCAAAACGCAGGATTGTACACTCTACTTCCACTATTAGCGACATCGTGGGTGGACATCAGCATGGATTTTGTGGTTGGACTCCCAAGGACCCAAAGGAACAAGGATTCCGCAATGGTTCTTGTGGATAGATTCTCCAAGATGGCCTATTTCATACCCTGTCACCGGACGTTGGTTGCCTCTCACATTGTTGATCTATACTTCAATGAGATTGTAAAGTTGTACGGAATTCCCAGGACTATCACATCCGACAGAGACGTCAAATTCATGGGCCACTTTAGAAGGACACTTTGACCCAGCAACTCATCCACCGACAGACAGATAGAGGTAGTAAATTGGAGCCTCGGTAATCTCTTAAGGTGCTTCATGGGGAAAATTATAAAGCAATGGGATTTTATTCTAACTCAAATTGAATTCGCCTATAACCGATCCATCAGCCAGATTATTGGACGCACTCCCTTCGAGTTTGTGTACGGATGTAACCCGCTCACTACACTTGAATTGGTGTTGCTCCTGCCATCTTCAAAAATCAACGAGGATGCCATAGAATGAGTTCACGAATTCAGAAGCTCCATGAAAAAAATTGGCAAGGTGACTGCTAAGCAGAACCGCAAATATCATGTCCAGGCAAATAAATCTAGGAAGAAAGTAATGTTTCAGGATGACGACCTTGTGTGAATTTGGTTGAAAAAAAAAAGATTTCCCATAGGATCATTCATAAAGCTTAAGCCAAGAGCAGATGAACCTTTCAGAGTACTTCAGAAGCTGAATGATAACGCTTACATGCTTGACCTGCCTAGGGACTACAATGTTTCAACCACATTCAATGTCGTCAACCTCACACCTTAACTTGAAGAGCCTGGAGCTTTGAAGAATGAGGTCGAAGCTTCTCCAATCCCGGGAGACTGACGCGGGGGCTGAAAACGTCTTGACACGGGTTGCTAAAGATGCCAGCCGGTTTTGCTGGCCAATTTTCTTGTCGGTCCAGGGCGGAAGGATCGCGAGTCTTGTAGAAGGGCCAAGACTACAACCTCACTTATACGCTTATCTACTTATGGAAAGCCTTTAAGGGCTATTTTCTGGAACAACATCACCCTTCTTCTTGTGTGGTAGTTTCCTTTTTCTTTTTTTTTTCCAATTGGAGTCTATATATTGTTGTTGTTTTTAGAGACTTAGGGCGTTCTTTGTTTTACTGATTTCAGATTCATGTGTGGAGTGTTCTCTCTGATCTGGGGCTGTATCCGAGAAGGTGATGGTGCTCCGGCTGTATCCTACTCCAAGCTTATTTTGCATATTCCCTCTTACCCTCACAAAACCATTCTCCTCCCCTCTCCTCCACCTCCGACCTTCTCATATTTCATCCCAACAACTTACCGCCCTTTTTTACGGCCTACCCTTGTTGACCATTCACCCCACCTACACCCTAGCACTCTGCCGCCCCTTCCCTGCAGCCTACCCTCTTTGTCCAACCTTCCAACTAGCACTCCAGCCAACCTACCGGACCCCCAAACCCCTCTTCCTGACCTATCTCACCGCCACCAACCCTTCTGCATACCCTCACCACGTTGCCGACGCAACCCTGCTTCCGAGTCTCCTCTTTCGTACCCTAGTAGGAGATTGATCTGTTATTGTTTTTCTCCTTTCATTGTGTCTTGTTGCGACCTGATTTATATATTAATAAAAGTTTGTTTTGTGTTCTGATAAATCCCGACTAGTTCAGGTATTTTTCTTAGACTTCCGCTCTGAAAATTTATTTAGTGGTCACTACCTTTTGAAGAATCATTTTACTTGGACCACTTTGCATCGGTCATGATAGATATTCCACCTTTTCTAGATGATTAACTTTGGTTTCTTGTTTAGTATTTCTGGATTTAAAATGCATGGCCTTTCTTACATAGGATAATACTACGGTTGGTCATTATATTTTAGTTTGCTCTCATTTTGAATCTGTATTTGTGCCTAACGTATTGGACCAACAGAGATCCTTGGGTTAATTTTGAAACATGCGCAACATTTATTACAGGGCAAATTGTATATTCTTTTAGGATGGTTGATCTATATTAGCTTGTTTTGTTAATTTTAAAGATTTTCAAAGAGGTTCATCAGATCCATTACTTTTTACAATATCAAGTATTAAATGAGGAAATTGTGCTCCAATGCCTTAGAACATTGTGTTGTATTTTTTGCATTCCGTCCTCTTTTATGTTTTAACACTTTCTCATCTCTTTTTTTGACCTCATAAATTGTCATTGAAAGACTAAAATTTTCTTACAATTCTTTTGGTTAGAATACCTTAGTCCAACCAGCCTCATTCTAGTTTCGATTTGGCTACAAAAATGGGTAATCACATTTTCTCTTGAAAGTTTCTAAAAGTAGTTCGTTTAGTCTCTTTTTTTTTTTTTTTTTTTAACTCTGAAGAAATTTCTTCCAATAATTAGTTGTCCTGATAAAATTTCGCTGCCTTTTTAGGATTAAGTTCAAATGCTTAAATTTTTTATTGATTATCATCACCGTAGTTGTTTTGCACTTCCATTTAAGTCATCATAGTGTACTTTTAAATTACCAAATATGAATGATTTGAACTTTCCTGTGGATTTTGATATATAGATTTATTCTAATGTGATAATTTTCTTATTAATAAATTTAATTATGAATCTTAGTTCGTTTTCTTATTTTAAATGTTAATAAATTTAATTACGAATCTTAGTTCGTTTTCTTATTTTAAATGCCCACTTCTTTTTATTAGGGTGAATGGCTTAGAACCTTGTGTTATATCTTTTGTATATTGTTTTAACACTTCCTCATCTCCTTTTTTTTTTTTTTACCTCGTAAATTGTCATTGAAAAACTACAGCTTTCTTACAATTCTTTTGGATAGACCACCTTAGCCCAAGCAGCCTCATTCTAGATCCGATTTGGCTGCAAAAATGGATAACCAAATTTACCCTTTAAAGTTTCTAAAAGTACGTCGTTTAGTCTTGTTTTTTTTTTTTTTTTGCTTTTGAAGAAATGTCTTCCAATAATTAGTTGTTCTGATAACATTTCTCTGCCTTTTCAGGATAAGGTGATGATTTAAATACTTAAATTTGTTATTGATTTTCATCTAAGTAGTTGTTTTCTATGAAACACCGACATAGACACTCACACGACACAATATGGGGATACGACATAATTGAAAAAAATAGGAAACAACACGTCATTGATACATTTTTATATTTAATTAATTATTAATATAGAGTATTTTTTATTATTCTTTATTAAAAATATCACAATACAAATTTTGTAAGAATAAAATTTAACTTTATAAATTTAATTTATATCATCAAACCTCGTAGTAATGAAAATTAATTTTTAAAATTAGATATAGTATGTTTCAAAAGAATTCATCTAATTTATCTATTAAAATTAAATAAATCCCATGACTTCAAAGAGGAAATTACTAATGCTCGGCTTCGAATATTGGATTCAACTTCGATGCTCAATTTTGACGAATGTCAGAGGGAGCTTCAACATGATGAGAGATGGAGAGGTGTTGATTATGGGGTATAATTAAGGCTACATGTATTTTTATAGTTTTCTAATTCCTATGCCCCATTTTCTTGAAATCTTAAGCTCACTTTTGATCCGCTGTTGAGGTGTGTCATGTACGTGTTCAGACCTGAAAAAATTCAGACATATATTTTGTAGTGTCGGAGAAGTGTCGGAAAAGTGTCAGTGTCCGATACGTGTCCGACACAGGCACGACACATGTTTAGAAGTTTCGGTGCTACATAGTTTGTTTTCAACTTTCAATCATCGGTGTCATCATGGTGTAGTTGTAAATCTGCCAAAGATGGATGATTTGAACTTTCAGATTTTGATATATAGATTTGTTCCAATTTGATAATTTTCTTGTTAATAAATTTAATTACAAACCTTAGTTTGTTTTCTTATTTTAAATGCCCGCTTTGTTTTATTAGGGTGAATGGGTCCCTGTTGTTGTTGATGATTGGATCCCTTGCGAAGCTCCTGAAAAACCAGCATTTGCTACTAGTAAGAAGCGTAATGAGCTTTGGGTTTCTATTTTGGAGAAGGCTTATGCCAAACTCCATGGATCTTACGAGGCGCTAGAAGGTGGGCTTGTTCAAGACGCTCTTGTAGACCTCACAGGAGGTGCAGGTGAAGAGATCGACTTGAGGAGTCCACAAGCGCAGATTGATCTGGCAAGTGGAAGATTATGGTCTCAGTTGTTGTACTTTAAACAGGAAGGTTTTCTACTTGGCGCTGGGAGTCCTTCTGGGTCAGATGTGCATGTTTCCTCCAGTGGAATTGTACAAGGTCATGCCTATTCAGTGTTGCAGGTATATTTCCTCCATTTTTCCCTTTTTATTGTTTCATTTATTGTCTCTGATGGGTTTGTTTGTTAATAATTTAACTTGTATTCAATTATGATTAAGGTGAGGGAGGTTGATGGCCACAAACTTGTACAAATTCGGAATCCTTGGGCCAATGAAGTTGATTGGAATGGTCCTTGGTCTGATTCATCACCTGAGTGGACTGACCGGATGAAACACAAGTTGAAGCATGTTCCACGGGTAGATTTTTGTGGAATTCAACATTTTGAGAACTTCATTTTAGCCATTTAGGTTCAAATGGAATGTAGATGATTGAAAGGTCTATTATGTGCTGCTTACTTTCATTTCAATCCTTCAATTTCAGGCAAAAGATGGAATATTTTGGATGTCTTGGCAGGATTTCCAGATTCACTTTCGTTCTATATATGTTTGCCGTGTTTATCCACCTGACATGAGATACTCTGTCCCTGGACAATGGCGTGGTTACAGTGCTGGTGGCTGCCAGGATTATGACTCGTGGCATCAAAATCCCCAATTTAGGTTGAGAGCCACTGGTTCAGATGCAACAAACCCAATTCATGTGTTCATTACATTAACACAGGTTCTCTCTATTTTGCTCTTTTGTAGCTGCTTTAGTATTCTTATAGAAAGCACTAAACATCTTATTTGCTTTCTTTTACTGCATTGTTCGCTAGGGTGTTAGTTTCTCGAAAAAGGTTTCTGGTTTCAAGAATTATCAGTCTAGTCATGATTGCTTGATGTTTTACATTGGCATGAGGATACTGAAGACACATGGCCGGCGTGCTGCATACAACATTTATTTGCATGAATCAGTTGGAGGAACAGATTATGTAAACTCTAGAGAAATATCCTGTGAACTAGTCTTGGATCCCTATCCAAAGGGATACACAATAGTACCAACAACTATTCAACCCGGCGAAGAAGCACCATTTGTTCTATCAGTCTTTACCAAATCAGCAATAATCCTGGAGGCAATTTAGGGAAGTCATCTAAATTAAAGGCTTGCTAAAGGCTGGCTTTTGCAACCCTTAGATTTGAGGCTCTTGTAAGTCTCAAATCGCTTGGGATTTCGGGGACTTGAAGCCTGTGAGCAGGTCAGGGGGTTCAGGAATTAACAGAATGGTATGATTCTTGTTCAAATTCCCTGTTAAAATTCTTATTTAACTTTTTTTTTTTTTGTCTAGGAAAGATCTTTTGCATACAGTGGAATTTCTGAATAAACTAGTGCTTCCACTCTTATGTTTTGCAGGGATTTAAAAAATTAGGCTTGTTTTATTAGCGGGATTTTGCTTATGACTGCACTAGTATAATATTTAGTTATTCGTCATGATCATAGATGCCTATCATTATGGCCGTTCACGAGTTCTAACTTTATGCAAGTATTAAAAGCGGTGATGCTTTGTTTGGCTGAATTATTTTCCTATCATCGCAACTCCATACATTTGTACTGAAACCCTCAGATTTTCTCCTAATAATTTTTTTGCCTAGTGGTTAAGTCTTTGCAAAATTTTCTCTAGTTATTAAGGTCGCGTGGTTCTCTATTACCTTCCACTAATTCAGAGAGCCAGCTGTTATCCTCCGCATTTTGCTTTACATTCATCTCTACCCTTTTTAACAACAATCCACTCGAAGTTGAATACTAGTGGGTGATATCTAGCTGTGGTTGAGTCATCCAATCTTTTCTTAAAATGGAAGGTTTTGATTTCCAACTTGAGCCAAATTTGAGTTGAGTTGGCCTAAAGTTGAAGTTCAAGCAAATTCAAAAGTGTATTTTTCTTTTTTAAATTTCAAGTTGTAGCCACTCACTCTTGAGTCTGAGTTTGGCTACAACTTGGAGATCTTCTTAAGCTCCACTAATTGTTGTAAATGATTATATGATGATGGAATCTAAGTTTCTGAAAGCCATTAACTCAATTACAATATTACCTTAAAAAAGGTTAAATTAAAACTATATAGTGAACTTTGAACCATGAGATACTTATTAAGCAAAATATGGTTTCATTACTTTCCTTGTTTAATTTTTCAGAGTCTGTTTTTGGTTGATCGATTATAAAGAAAACAGTTATGCTAGATCTACAATCATAGTGCCTGTTCAATGACTGCATTTTTATTGGTTGATTTGTTAACTACAAATGTCCGCAATTCCTAAACAGGTCCAGTTTCAAGGTTTTGATTCTCTGAGCCAATTTTCATATTTAAGGCATAAAGCATGCAAAGGAGAACCAGCTCCAGTAAATAAGACTTCCATTTTTACTTCCAACTTCTCTACCGGTGTTCTGCATGAAGTTTTAGTCCCAGCTTCTGTGGACAGCTTGGATTGGCCCGAGACGGGGCTCTCGGCTGTCGATAAATTTGATTGGCCGGATCAGTTCAGTAAGCATATTGTAATTTGCTGTCAGGTATAGCAAACGGATAATATCATCGTTAATAATCTTTTTTGTTTATTATAATAAAGGGTTTGTGGCTGGAATTACCTTTTTGTAGAGTTCCGGTTACAGTTTTGTAATACCCCTTCCGTGATTTGCGGTCTTATTCCTAGGCTTTTTCAGCCAGTTATTATTATTATTATTTAATTTAACTTTCTTTTTTTTTTTGTATATTGTAATTTATTGGGAATCTCATTTGACATGCAGCCTGGTGCTCTGTTTTCTGCTTTGAATGGCTAATTTCTTATGACACTGCTTGCTTCAATTTTACTTGGCTCCAGCAGGTTCTAATGTATCTTTTCATGCATACCATGCAGTATTTATATATTTATGTATCTAACACCTATTTTCCTTACATACAATACAATTCTTATATATTTATGCGTCTTACACCTTATTGCTCACTAATATTTTAAAACTGGTGCTATAAATGGAAATATCAAATGTTTGGTGGTGGATATGTAAATACATAGGAGTCATATGGTATGTATTTAAATTTCCCTTCTAAATGTTAGTTGTCTTGATTTTTTTATGAAGTGGGGCTGATTGGTTGTAAGTAATTAGAATTATTATTTTTAATAATGTGAAATAAAATAATTATATTTTTATTTATTAAAGATGTTTAAATGATTGTTAAATAAAATTATATTTTATATGCTTCACTGTCCATCAATGCTAGTTCGTTCTTAATCAGTGACTGATCGAGTAGAATTGGTTTGTCTATAAATATAAATCACCACCTTAAAGACTGGCGCTATATTATTCATAATATGTACACGAATAATATAAATTAAAATTTTCTCAAAATATGAAAATTTAAAAATATAAAAGTCTAGTAATTGAAATTAAGTATATGGTTTAAATGTTAAATGTATTCTTTAAAAAATTCGTTAAGGATTGAATTTTTGTTAAGATAATAATAAATCTAAAATAAATAAGTGATTATGATTTTTGTTTTAGCTAGTCAGAATATTGTTTATTTTATTATAGATAAGCAATCATTTAATTAATGATTTTTGATCTTTTAAATATTGATAAATTCAGATGTTAATCCATTTAAAAAAAAGTTATATGTAATTAAATTTATTTTTTTTAAGTAGGTATACTTACCATAGCTCTTAAAATATTTTAATTTTTAATTTTCTAAATTAAATAAATTACTTTTAACACATTTAGCATAGCTAATACTTATTTTAAGTTTTTTTTTTTGTTTGAAACTAGTTGATTAATTTTCAATGTATCACAAATGTTTTATTTTAAAAAAAAAATAAAATTAAAAAACAAAAAGTATGCTGGTCCTAAACTGCCTTTAGAAGTTACAATTATGCTCGTGACTACAATAAAAAAAAGCAACAACTATCCTCATAGGAAATCAGCTGAAAAAACTTATTAAACTAAGAGTTTGTTTGGAACAGTTGCAGTTCATATAAACAGTTTATCCTGAAACGTGGCCAGCGGGGTTTGATCCGCGGCCCACGTTTAGTGCAAAAATCCAACCGTGTTTTCAGATAAGCTGTTGAAATGCTTTTTTCAAATGATGAAGCAGCGTTTTCAAAACGCCGCTGCAACAGATAAGCTGCCCCAAATACGACCTTAGTCGATACCATCTTTGGTTGGTAATAGTTTGGATGTTGCTAATGTTTTGGATTCAATTTTACCAAACATAATAATAAACTCTCACTTTGTGCATTTTTTGGCCGGAGAAAAATAAAGGCGAAAGGTAGAACAACTTTGTTCTCGTAGTTATTCAAGGATTGGTTGGTTCAGTCAGGAAGCAATTTGGTACGAAGGGCTAAAGTAGCGTTTTCAATCACAAAACTAGACTTCTTAGTGATGTGCACGAATCTAGATGCATTCTGGGCAGGAAACATTCAAATTTAACATAATTATTACAACAACTTTAGTCAAATTGAATGTCTTTACAAGATGAATCAAATGATTGAACACTTGAACTGTAGTTAAAAACTTCGGTGCATCAATTGGAAGGTCAAACGATCTCTAAATTCGGCTTTGTTGATAGTAGCGACTTAACGAAGCCAAGATAATCTAATTTCGAGGTCTTTAAGATAACTAAAATGTTAAAAAAACATAATATAATTAAATGAATCAATGTGAATCATCTGATAGTTTGTTTCGAAAGATTGATTAAATTTACCCAAAATGTTTCTTTCAAAATTAAATAAACCTCAATTCTTTACTTGAAGGAGGATATGAGAACAAGAGAGCGAGCTTGCCACTAAAGTTTCTTGAAGTTCTAGTGGTTGTCACCGGTCACCAAAGGTCGTCATTGACAATATGAGTTTAACAGTTTACAAACCTTAACCAATAATTGCTGCAGCTAATACTACGACTGTCATCAACTACAATTTATATAGCCAACTATAATTTCTATAGCCAGCCATGATTATTATCGTCATATTATGACAATTATAGCGAGACTATGACAGCTACAGTCTCAATTACTCTTATAGCTATATATTTTGGATTATCTCTAGCCAATTGTGATTCCAGCATGATATTGTAATCTCATCTTCTTAATCCAGGTGAAGAATGAACTTTAGTACTTCAGATTATATAGTGCATTATTGTAACCGAGCCAGACCTCGTAGCTTTTTCCCATGTCTTGGATTTTTCACATAAAAAGTACTGATATCTCCTTCTACTACTTTCATGTATCTATGTGTGCACTAAACCTTTGTGCAACACTATGACATTAAATTATCACTCCATTAACATAAATTCCCTAGCGCACAACAAGTAGCGTGCAAATTTAATGACCATAACATTCTTTAATGTTGTTTCAACCTATAAAAACAAAAAAATTACAAAGCAATAAGATAATAAAATTTAAAAAACAAATTAATAATCATACTAACTGAATAGAATTTAAAGCAAAAGATTTTTTAATTCACATCTAAAATAATTTAACATAACAATGAAACAATTTGTAGCCCTAGAATTAACCCGTTGGTCTCTATCTGTTTGATACCTTTTAAAGCGAAGACATGGTTAGGCGTTAATTGGAAATCATGGCCATCATGATTAAAAATCTCACTTAGGCTAGTTTTGTTCATTTCAAATATCCTTATTTTTCCCTTGTAACTAATAGCTCAAATAGTTTTTTGAAACAATTGCTGATTTTGTTTTATTTTTAAGAAAATAATATTCATAAATTATTTTTATAGATTTAATCTATCTACATTAATTTAAGTATTTCATCAATTTCTAAAACACATATCTTTATGTATTTAAAAGTACCAAATCAAACAAAAGTCCATCTTGCCAACCCAACACCAACCCTGTTTGATGTGATGCATCGATGTAAAATGAAAACCGAATGCACATGTAAAGAGCATTCGAAACATTGATATTGACAAATTATGCATGAAACTGATTTTTCGAACTATCCAAACGGTGTATTTACGTGTGTCATGATGAAATCATTGAGAATTTGATAAAAAAAAATGAAAATTATGAGCGTGGTTTTAATAGGAATTTTGATATTTGAGTGAGAATCTGAAACATGAATGAAAGAGGTGCTTGATTTGTAAATAGAAATGTTTTGGGTGCTCGGTAAGTAATCGCTCCCTTATTTTTAATAAATTCGGGCAATCTATAACATTTTTATAGTAGACTTAAGTAATTCGAAAACGGGAAAATTACATGCATAGCACCCAATTCTTATGGATTTACATATCTTATATCTAAACTTTTATTTTTACACACAAAGAACTTTATTTATCAATCAAATGATAGATTTGATTGGATGATAATGAGTGTTATTTTTAATATAAATATGAAAGTTTAGTGATGAGACGTATAAATATAAAAATTTTGGATGCTATGTATGTAAAAGCTCCATTATTTGAAAAATTATTTCATACGAACACTGCATTCATGCGGTGTCCAATCTCCACTGTTGATCACAGGGAAGATGTAATTCGGTGGGTCTCATTCAAATTTTTTTTTTTAAATCTATGATCAAAAGTGGAGACCGGACACGGCATGAATTTCTGCATTATTTAAATAACATTGAAAAAAATACATGCTTTAAAATTTTAAAGCATACAAATCTGTCTATTATATTTCTCTTAATTTTATTTTAATGAATCACTGTTTAGAATGACAGAGGCCGTCACAGAGTGAAAACGAAAGCGAGCGATTGCGATTGCTGGTCGGGGAATTAAATGAGGTGCGAATCCAAAACCCTTGTGTGCCTTTCATCTGCTTCCTAGCGCTTCTTATCTCTTTTAACCAATATAGGAGACCGTCGTACGCCACTTCTTCGGCTACAGAGCTCGCCGGAGTTTGCTTTCTGTACTATGACGTTCTTTTCTGACATTACTCTTCTTCCTCGCTAAATGGACCGCATCCGAACTAATGCAGATTTTATATTAATCGTGATGTCTGTGAATTAGGGATTTCATCTTGTAGTTGACCATTGGCTTGTTAATTAGCTCTAGTTTTACGATTGAATGACTCTTTAGTTTAATTTTTGGAAGCTAATAAATCTTAAACCTTTAATTATTACTTATATGAGTATGATTGTTCTATTACTTATTGTAGAAATTATATATGAAATGACATGTTTTGGGCTTCATCCACAGGTGTCCTTGGAAAACTCGCTTGAATTTGGGACTTAGTGTGATGAAATCTAATTTTCCTTAATGGAGGTGTCTCTTTGAGTTGCTCTATCATGAAATCAGGGTACAAAGCTACAAAAGTAAGTTTTAATAAATGATTACTAAAAGTGATCCGTGCTTGTTTGTAGTGGATTGATTACATTGAATTCATGTAGTGATGGTCAAGTAAGGAACACATTCATGTGAAGTTGGTGGCCGGTGTTTCCGATGTAGGTTGAGTTCTTGTGAAGTCATATTGAACGATTTTGGGTAAGTGGGTTGTTTCTGAGAAGTTTGATTAGCCTTTTGGTCAATATTCCCTATTAATTGGCTTTTGTCAGCTATGAGCTCATTGATGTGTTCAATATGGTCTAAACGACTCCACATATTGATCCAACTTAGCCAGCCAACTAGCTTTGACTCTGACTGATGCAATTTGGCAAAACTAATTGAATCTATTTTGAGTTGGATTTCTAAAGGTCTTAAAAATTGATTTTGATATTTCTTGTAATGATGAGAAAACTGCATAACTCTCCTATTGAATTTTTTGATTTGACATTTTGAATTAACACTTAGTAGCTTGTTGATTAGGCCTATTATTGAGCACCCTGACTTATGCCTGTAAGCAACCTTTTGAGAAAATTAGGGCGAAGAAAAACAGTAATTGACACAAATCCAGAAGAACACAGAGATTTAACGAGGTTCGGCAGAGATGCCTACGTCCTCGGGAGCAGAGCGGCGAGTTCCTTTCAATAATCAGAAAAGAGTTTACAGAATTCAGGGATACCTCCTGGGGTTACTAACAGGCCTATTTATAACCCCAGGAGTAAATCTAGGCACAATATGTAATTACAACATTACCCCTGTACCAAACCGCGGGGCTTTGCCCCCGCACCCCAACCCACGTAACTTCCCAATTTGGATAGATTCTTCCACTCCGCTTCGATCCAGCGTCTGTCCCGATATGGTATATGAGTCATACCATAACAAATCTCCACCTTGGCGAATATCCAGCCCCTTAGGAGAAAAAATACCTGGGAGTTACACCTGCACCACCGTGGGTTGGGCCACCATGCTTCTCTAGCAACTGCAAACATTCAACAAGTCCAAGCAATGCAAGAACTTGTTGATAGTAACTGGCTTGGTCAACATATCAGCTGCATTCTCATCAGTATGAACCTTCTGCAACAGTATCTCCCCAGAAGCAATCAACTCTCTGATCTTGTGATACCTGACATCAATGTGCTTGGTTCTCGCATGGTACACCTGGTTCTTAGCCAGATAAATAGCACTCTCACAATGCAACTGAAACTGAACTCCACCTTGCTCAATGCCCAGTTCCTTTACTAGCCCAGCAAGC